AATCAAATCCCATTATTTGCATGGACCTCTTAGTTTCCTAGTATGTTTCCAAGCTTGTATCTCATGAATTCTTCCTGTTCTCAGCAATTTGGAATAACAATCAATAAATTGCTGCGAAAACTCAAACCTGCACTTTCTTAGAGAACCGTGCCACGTGCAGCTTCATGCGGACGTGTCGAATGTGGAACAGCTGAAGATCTAGTGTGTCTAGTCAGCAGCAGTTCAGGCTACTTGGATCACATAGCCTATTTTTGTTGCCAGATTTCCGAGCATCCAGTTGTTTCTTGCTTCAAGCCTTGCTGCTGCTTCAGGATCGTAGCTCCCGGCCATCTCCCTCGGCCAAATATCAGATACCGCTCGTCCCTATTAAGCTCTACTCGTTCCGATCGCGGAGCTTCGTACCGCCAGGGGAATAAAGTGAGTTTGCCCGATCCCACCCTCTTGCTCCCACTTTCCCGTTTTCTGTCCTCACCGACACTCGTTCAATCTGGGTGTCCGTGCGTTGGGTGCATTTGGACGTCGGTATCGTCAAGGTCAAGGTGACTTCTGAGTCCACTCACAAGTATCGTCGCCTTCCTCCTTTTTTTGTTTGTGTTTGTTGTTGTTGTTGTTGTTGTTTTTTTTTTTTTTTTTTTTTTTTTTTTTTTTTTTTCACTCCACTCTTCACCTTTCGTGTAAGGTGCTGCATTTCCCCCGCTCGATTACCTGACTCCGAGGTAGCCCGCCTCGTCTTCTCGCTTTCGGTCTCATCCTCTTCGCAACCCACATCCTCCTCATCCGGATCCATGTAACTCTGACCCAAGGCGACTCTTCAGTCGAAACGTTATCTGGGTCTAACGTCACTCACCGTACATCTTCCGTGTCTGCCTCTCCCGTCGCAGGTCACATTGCGAAGCGCTAATACATCTTCAGCGACCAACAAAGTCGAATCGCGATGACGGCGAGTGCGATGATTCAGTCAACCGCCAAATGCGCCGCCACACAGGTTGGCGTGACTTGGGTAGGCGTGGCTTGTGTAGGCGTGACTTGGGTAGGCGTGGCTTGGTAGGCGTGGCTTGGGTAGGCGTGGCTTGGGTAGCGTGGCTTGGGTAGGCGTGGCTTGGGTAGGCGTGGCTTGGGTAGGCGTGGCTTGGGTAGGCGTGGCTTGGGTAGGCGTGGCTTGGGTAGGCGTGGCTTGGGTAGGCGTGGCTTGGTAGGCGTGGCTTGGGTGGCGTGACTAAGTGATCACCGAGTTGGTCGCGATGATGGCGCGAGCGATGATCCAGTCAACCGCCAAATGCTCCGCCACACAGGGTAGGTGCGGCTTGGGTAGGCGTGATAGGAAACCTCTTAATGCTGTGTCTTGTGGCGCATGAAGCGATTAGCACACTCACACGAGCGATGACAAACTAAATCTCCAGACATCTGGATACGACTTCTCACGGCGATTTCGTCGCGTGGAAAAACAGAAAAGGAAATCAAGCTCAGACAAATCCTGAAACGAGTCCACACGATGAGTGCTTGATACGGAAGCACAGCGACTGAAACCCGATGCGATGGGTGTCGCGCCCTCACTTGCACACGGTTCCACACGTGCTGCTCCGCCACTCGTTGCTTTCCCCACGCTCTCCTGCCCCCCCTCCCTTACGCCTCCTCCTAGCTCTTAATAACCGTCTAATCAGAGCATCTATTCTTCGGTTCCGCTCTCACCTATGCTTCTTGTGACTCTTCTCTCCCACGCCCTCTGAAAACGTCTTTAATCATCTTCCAGCCCTCTCGTTGTTTCGCTCTTCCCCTCCGCCTGTTTCGCTCTTCCCCTCCGCCCGTTTCGCTCTTCCCCTCCGCCCGTTTCTTTTTTCCGCTCAGGCGGCGCTGCTTGCGGGCGAGCCCGTTCTCAGAGGCGCCACGTCAGCACCGGCGTCTCTCTCGCCCGCCACGTGGCTGCCGCTAGGCCGGTCCGGACCCACTCCTGGAGCGCCACGTGTGGTCAGGACAGCGGGGTTTAGACCAGGAGCGGCGGTGGCGGCGGCAGCGGGAGGAAGGGCACGAGCAAGGGGGGGGACAGAGGTGAGACGAGGGGGGGTTGGGAGAGGGGTACGATTGGAAGAGTTGAAGGGAAAGGGTGGGGAGAGAAGTGGGGGAGAGGGGTGGGGAAAGGTTCGGAGGGGTGAGAAGCACAGCGGTGCGCTGTGGTCGAGAGAAGTTTCAGTGCGACAAGCATAGGTATGGTGACAGGCTGTGGCGGAGGGGAGGGGAATTGGCTGAGGCGAGAAAGAGGAAACAAATCAAGGGTTTATCAAGGGTTTATCAAGGGTTTATGAGGCAAAGTGCTTGAGATGGATGCCGAGGTTTATCAAGGGCTTTGCGGTGCATTTTAAGGTTTCTTGTGGAATAATAGCAGGGTCTGTTAGCAGCAGGCAATGTGTGAAAGACTCAGCACAGCACATGGCATGGGTGTGGCATGGGTATATGGCATGGTGTGGCATGCGTATATGGAATGGGTGTGGCATGGGTATATGGCATGGGTGTGGCATGGGTATATGGCATGGGTATATGGCATGGTTGTGGCATGGGTATGAGATGGGTGGTATGGCGGGGCATGCATATGACATGGGCATGTTCCCAACCCCCTGCATTCTCCCGCACACTCTCTTCCCCCATTTTCATACCCTCCCCTCTCCCCATTACCATCTCTCCTTCCGAATCCCCTTTCCCTCCCCTCTCCCGCACCCCACCCCCACCCCTCCCCTTTCGCCTGTGCCCCTGTCGTCCCACACCCCCCCCTGCCTGCCACACAGTGTCGTCCTCTGCCGTCCAGCAGCAGGTGCTGCTGGCGTCAGTGTCCCAGTCCACGTCAGCACCACCTCCCGTGCGACCATCCCAGCCGTCCTCTTACCCGTAGGTGGCACCAGGGAGAGGGATTTGGAGAGGTGCAGAGAGATTTGCGGAGAGATGCGGAGAGACCGCAGAGGGGTGCAGAGATATGGAGAGGAACTGGAGCGAGGTGTGTAGAGATGGCAATGGCGACATTGAGAGGGCCTCCACATAGGCATACATGGGCATTGTCATGCACAGTGGACAGGTCTCCCGGTTTCAAGTCCGGTCGTAGGCAGATCCATCAATTCACACGTACATGCACATGTTCATTCATCTACAGTCATGCACGTCTTCCTATTTCCGTGCCAGTCGCCCTTATTTCCAGCAAGCAGAGGCAAACCTCTCATGTGGTTTGGTGCGACTGCCACCCTGTGCCAGTCGCCACTTATTTCCGCACTCCTCCCCAATTTCCCCTCTCCCGCCTCCCCCCACGGAAATGCAGGGGCACGCCTCTCATGTGGGTGGGCGTGGGCGTGGCTCTCTCGGCTCTTCGCCTCGTGGGTGAGAACTCCTGGAATTTGCCAGCTAGAATCTCGGTCTATGACCCTCATGCATGCCCTCATGCATGCCCCCCTCATTCCCCTCATTCCCCTCATATCCCCTCATGCATGCCACCAATACCTCCGTCCTTTGCCTGCCTTTGCTTCTCATGCCACCTTTGCTCCCTCTTCCCGCTCTTTGCTTCTCTCGCCAGCCCATCGCATACTCTCTCCTCTCCTTTCTGTAGCTCCACACAACCTTCTTTCAGTTCTCCCTTTCCTCTTCTCCCTTTGTCCTGCCCCTCTCGCGTGTAACGCCAATGGCGCTCTCCCCTCCCTCCAGGGCTCCAAGTTCGTCATGCAGCGCATGCAGGTGAGCAGCGGTGCAAACAGGTGAGCAGTGGTGCCAGCAGGTGAGCAGCGGTGCATGCAGGTGAGATGCAGTTTCAGACAAGCAGGCTGTTCAGCGTACCTTTTAGGTTAATTGCCTCTTGATGCGTGTCTTGTCTCGCAATTAACACCTGTTCCCGTTCTCTGATCTCTCACATCTCTACCTTCCGACACCCCGGCAAGCCATGATGAAGCAGATGCTCAATGTGAAGCAATCCCAAGGCAGGGGGAAGAGGAGCATCGTTATCTCATGCTCCACACTCCACTTACTCCCCTTTTCCACATATGTTTCTCACCATCCAGTCTCTTCCCCTACCTCTCGCTTCCCCAACCCCACCAGCAAGCCATGATGAAGCAGATGCTCAGTGCCATGCAATCTGGAGGCGGCGGCCCGGGCGGCGCGGCCAATCCGTTTGCGGCAGCTGGCATGGGCGGCGGCGCCAACCCGTTTCCGGGCATGGGCGGCGGAGGAGCAGCAAACCCCTTCGGTGGCATGCCCTTCCCCCCACCACCACCAGCAGCATCACCATCATCATCACCCTCCTCCTCCTCGTCTTCCCCCTCCTCTAGGTCCTCCAAGGCCAAGTCCTCCTCCACAGCCTCCAAGGCGTCTGCAGGTGCGTTGGCGATTTTTAAGTTGACTGAGGTTTGCTCTCTTCCTCTTTCTCATCACCCTCCTCCTCCTCGTCTTCCCCCTCCTCTGGGTCCTCCAAGGCTAAGCTTTCCTCCACAGCCGCCAAGGCATCTGCAGGTGCGTTGCTGAGGGGTTTGGACACCTGTAGTTATTCCTTCCATTCCCGTCTCTCTCCTTTCTTTTCATTTGATTCTTTATTTGTCGCTTCCACTGGTCCTCTGAGGTCTTTTGCATGTTTACCCTCCATTTCCCGGGTATTCTGCTCAACCACCCTATCTGCACGGCAAGTGATGCTGAAAGCAATGGATAGTGTTCGACCTCTCCCATGAGAAAAGGAAATACAGTTTGTCTGATGCCATGCGTAGAGGTGGTGGCGTAACACCCATCTTTCTACACTCTCTCCCTTACACCGCCATCCCTGTGCCCAATGACATGCCATCCCTGTGCCCATTGACATGCCATCCCTGTGCCCAATGACATGCCATCCCTGTGCCCAATGGACATGCCATCCCTGTGCCCAATTACATGGCCACCCTGTGCCCAATTACATGCCACCCTGTGCCCAATTACATGCCATCCCTGTGCCCAATTACATGCCATACCTGTGCCCAATTACATGCCACCCTGTGCCCAATTACATGCCACCCTGTGCCCAATTACATGCCATCCCTGTGCCGAATTACATGCCACTCTGTGCCCAATTACATGCCACTCTGTGCCCCAATTACATGCCACCCTGTGCCCAATTACATGCCATCCCTGTGCCAATTACATGCCACCCTGTGCCCAATTACATGGCACCCTGTGTCCACTACAAGCCTCCATTCCTATCCTGAGTCCTCCTCTCCTTTTCTTCCTTTTTCTCCCAACTACATGACACCCTGCTCTTTGATTTGATCATCGGCGTTTCAACTACCCACTACCCACCCCTTCGTCTGTCTTTCTCTCACCCTGTTCCCCTCCACACACCGTCCGTCTCCTTGCTTGATTTGAGGATGGCAAGTGATGCTGAAAGCAATGGATAGTGTTCGAAACTTTCCATGAGAAACAAATTGATAGTCTGTCTGATGCCATCAGGGTGATGGGTCTTTCCATCATCTGCTTCATTGTCCCCCTTCCTTCCATCGCAACGCGTTTTTCTGTATGTCTGTCATTGTTGCTTCGTTGGGCTGTCTCGTTTGCCATCCCCTAGCATGTCTAGACTTGGCAGGTGATGTTGAAATCATTTGTTCGTTGTGTTTGATCTTCTCCGTGAGAACAGATCATGATCTGAAGCCAAGGGTTGAGCTCCATTGCTTTCCACACACTCGTGTGGGTCTGTCATTTCTTTGAAGTGTAAACCTCGTACTGGTCCTGCATGTCCAGAATGATAGTTATGTTTTTGAGGTGCCTCAAAAATAGAAGGTTCCTGGACTGGACGGGGGTCCGCTCCCTGCATGTTGGGAATGGCAAGGGATGTTGAAAGCAATGGATAGTGTTCGACTCAATCCATGAGAACAAGTGTGTTTATCTGATGCCATCACATCCTGTGCTCCCCTGTTGTGTCGCTTCCTCTCCTGTTGAGAATGGCAAGGGATGCTGAAAGCAATGGATAGTGTTCGATTCAATCCATGAGAAGATAAACGTTTGTCTGTCTGATGCCACCACATTGTTCCATCCCATGCTGTGCTGTGCTCACTTGTTGTTCCGCTTCCTCTGCCTCGTCCTATAATCAAACGCTTACTGATGCCACTCCTTAGGATGTTTTGTTGTTTGTTTTGAGCAAGGCTCTGTCTGGGTTGTTTTCCTCATCGTACTTCACGCCTCTTGCTTTATCGATCATGTCTTGTGCCTCTTTGTTTGAGTAAGTCTGATCTGTGCTTCCTTCCTTTCCCTGACATTGTAACTCTTTTGAATGGTAATCACAACTTGTCATGTGTACACCGGGCAGATGATGCTGAAAGCAATGGATAGTGTTCGATCCTTTCTATGAGAACAAAAAAACGATACCATATCTGATGCCAATCGATTGTTGAGCCTTCCTTTCGCCTCCCATTTCAGTCTCCCAATCTGTGATTCGCTCGCAGCAGTGGTAGATGTGATGGGGCAGCGCAGTTGGCAGGCGCCAAGCCACCTACCTACCAATGCTGCTGCTCCTCCATCCTCTCACGCTATCCTACCTTCTCCCTTCCCCTCTCACCTACCTTCCCTCCCGTGTCATGCGCAGCAGTGGTGGACGTGGCAGCACAAGTCTCAGACGCCAAGCCCGCAGCTGCCGCTGCTGCAGCACCCTCTTCTGCCACCACCAGCCCTTCCAGCAGCAGCAGCGCTTCTTCGTCGTCAGCAGCATCCTCGGCTCCTGCAGAGGAGGCGGAGAGCAGCAGCAAGAAGAAGAGCTTCTTTCAAGATGCTGAGGTGAGCGCCCTGCTGAGGTGAGGCACTTGTGAGGGAGTGCTGGAGCACCACCAGCGGGTGGGAGAATCAGTGCCGCTACCTTTTGAAGGCCTTAGAAGTCTCCGTCTTACTTGATGCAGAGGAGGCGAGCAGCAGCAGCAAGAGGCGAGCTTCTTTCAAGATGGTAAGGCGAGGCACTTGTGATTCATTGATGGTAAGGCGAGGCACTTGTGATTCATTGATGGTAAGGCGAGGCACTTGTGATTCATTGATGGTAAGGCGAGGCACTTGTGATTCATTGATTCACCTCCAGCAGAATCATTGATTCTCCAGTAGCACACGAAAGTGACCTGCCACCATCATCCAGTAGCTCCAGGTCACGTTCGTGTGCTCGCTCGCCCCACTAGTTTATTCAACGACTTTGAGCAGCCGCTCCACAAGGTATGGGTGTCACTATCCAGCAGCTTCAGGTCCACCCATGCCTTGAGGTCCACCCATGCCTTGAGGTCCACCCATGCCTTGAGGTCCACCCATGCCTTGAGGTCCACCCATGCCTTGAGGTCCACCCATGCCTTGAGGTCCACCCATGCCTTGAGGTCCACCCATGCCTTGAGGTCCACCCATGCCGTGAGGTCATCCTCTCATCGTGCCTTGAGGTCATCCTCTCATCGTGTGCTTGTTGTGCGAATGTCCCATGGCCGGCCTCTCACCCTGTGTTTGCGGCGCCAGCTGGTGGAGGAGCCATCCAGGGGCGCTTCTGCTGGAAGAGCAACAGTAGCAGCAGCAGCAGCAGCAGCAGCAGCAGCAGCAGCAGCAGCAGCAGCAGCAGCAGCAGCAGCAGCAGCAGCAGCAGCAGCAGCGGTGGCAATGCATCTAATCTAATGCCACTTGCCTGCCCTTCCCCTCTGTGTTCGCCCTCCAGCTGGTGGAGGAGCCATCCGGGGGAGGCTTCTCCTGGGGGAACACGGGCAGTAGCACGGGCAGCAGCGGCAGCAATGCATCTAATGCCACTTGGGATACGTCCACCAACTCATTTGCCAACGGAGGAGGTGGTGGTGAGTGCTCGTGCTCAGCGCAGCAAGCAAGGTATAAATCCATGCAGTAACGACTGATGTGCAGTCATGTGAGAGAAAACAGCAACATCACTGCCTCCTCTGTTGCCGTGAATGCCACTTGGGACAATGATGGAGGTGGTGGTAAGTGCCAAGCCAATGCAAGGCTACAGTCCTCCATTTCACTTGGCATGCGCCATGCATTATCATCATGTATCACAGATTTCCAACCCTCAATCCATCATCGTGCATCTCAATCCATCATCGTGCATCTCAATCCATCATCGTGCATCTCAATCCATCATCGTGCATCTCAATCCATTATCGTGCATCTCGGTATCTCTTAACACCCTGACGAAACAATCGTCTCGATTCTTGTTTTGTTCGATTCGGTTTTTTTCTTTAGCAGGCGGGGCTAAGGGCAAGATGACAGTGGAGGCGCTGGAGAAGATGCTCGAGGACCCCATGGTGCAGAAGATGGTTTTCCCGTGAGTTTCCGGGTGTAATCGCCGCTTTGCCCCATGAGAGTGCATTTATGCCTGCTGGTTGTGTTTTAGTAACTCCACTCCACCCCCGTAACACTTTTGCCACTCTCGTCTTTCCATATCACTGACGGATTCTCATCTTCCCTGCTCCCTCCACTCTGTAAGCTCAGCTGCCCTTCGTTCCTCCTCACACACGTGCTGCCCTTCGCTCCTCCTCACACACGTGCTGCCCTGCATTTCACTGCACAGCATCTATCTGCAAAGGCATGCATTTTCCCGACATACTTTGCTCCTTTTGCCCTCCTCCTCACACTCGTGCTGTCCTGCAGGTATCTGCCAGAGGAGATGAGAGACCCGGCCACCTTCAAGTGTAAGCACCTCCACCCACACCTCTTATCCTTCTTCCCACCCTCCTCTCCGTCCTCTCCCTCTCCCGCCCTTACCCCTCCTCTCCGTCTCTCCCTCTCCCTCCTCACCCCTCGTCTCCTCTCCCTTCTGCTACCCACCCCTCCTCTCTGTCTCTCCCTCTACCTCCCCACCCCTCCTCTCCCTCTCTCCCTTCCCCTCCCCACCCCTCCTCTCCTTCTCTCCCTTCCCCTCCCTACCCCTCCTCTCCTTCTCTCCCTTCCCCTCCCTACCCCTCCTCTCCTTCTCTCCCTTCCCCTCCCTACCCCTCCTCTCCTTCTCTCCCTTCCCCTCCCTACCCCTCCTCTCCTTCTCTCCCTTCCCCTCTCTAACCCTCCTCTCCTTCTCTCCCTTCCCCTCCCTACCCCTCCTCTCCTTCTCTCCCTTCCCCTCCCTACCCTTCCTCTCCTTCTCTCCCTTCCCCTCCCCACCCCTCGTCTCCGCGTTCTTCTCCAGCACGTGAAGCAATTTGTTAGTCGATGTTTCCTGTACCGCCAGCACATGCGATATCATCTCTCCCTGCCCCCTTCCCCCACCCGGCCAAGCCCCACAGGCATGAAGCAGAGCCCCATGTACCACCAGCAGCAGCTAGCGAGCACGCAAAGCCTTACCTTCCACTGCCCCTTCCTTCCCCTCCCGTTTTCTTTTCCTCGTGCTGTCTCTCCCTGCCCCACGCCCATGTGCCTATGCATGCGCTTATCCCCCCCAGGGATGATGCAGAGCCCCATGTACCGCCAGCAGCTAGAGAGCATGCTGTGAGTTTCCTATCTCTCCTCTGCTTGCTCACCCCTCTCTCCTTTCCTCCTCAAACCGCTTCTATCTCCCTGTTCATCCATCCCATGTTCATCCATCCCATGTTCATCCATCCCCATTTTTCCCAGCACTACCTCTCCTGGTGTGTTTTGAGAAGACTCAAAGCACTATTCCTCCCCTCCTCCTCCCTCCACCACATGCTCCCTCCACCACATGCTCCCCCACGTCCTCCCTGTTCCCTTGTCCCATGTCCCCTCGTTTTCCGTCCCAGTATTTCCCTTGTCCATCCCTCCTCTCTGCAATTTTCTGCACTACCTCTTCACCCATCTCGTCCATTCGATACATCTCCTGTCCCTTCCCATCACATCCTTGCCCTTCTCATCACATCCTTTCCCTTCTCTTCCTCTCATTTCATCACATAGTTTCCCTTCTCATCCGCTTCCTCTCATCGCGTCGTTTCCGTACCCATCCTCTCCCTGCAGCGACAACATGGGCGGCACGGGCTTTGATGACAGAGTCCTGGACATGATGAAGAGCTTCGACCTCAACAGCCCCGAAGTGAAGGACCAGTTCTGTGAGTTGCTGTGTTGATGAGGGGGGCAGTTCTATGAGTGCAAGGGGCAGTCTCAGCTCACAGTCAACTCTAGTTCCAAAGCTGGACATGATGAAGAGCTTCGACCTCAACAGCCCCGAAGTCAAGGACCAGTTTTGTGAATTGATGCGTTGACCAGGGGGCAGTTCTCTATGCTTGGTTGACCAAGGGGTCCAAGCTGCAATTCTCTCAGTTCACAGGCCCCTTGGGTTTATCAAGCTCAAATCATCAAGAGCTTTGAGTCGACCATGTCACCAGAGGACGTGGAGGCTAAGATCATGTCCAACCCTACCTAACCACCCTAACCTACTCATATATGTCTGTCACCGCACTCAACCAACCCGTACATCTCCTCCCTTTCCCCCGTTCAGCCCAGCTGGGCATGTCACCAGAGGACGTGGTGGGTAAGATCATGTCCAACCCGAAGCTCTCCTCATGTGTCCGTCTAGTACACGCGACTCAACCCCGTATCTCTCCTCTTCCCCCTCCTTCCCCCCCTTATCAGCCCAGCTGGGCATGTCACCAGAGGACGTGGTGGGTAAGATCATGTCCAACCCGAAGCTCGCAGCTGCCTTCCAGAACCCCCGCCTGCAGGCCGCCATCCTCGATGTGAGTCCTTTAGTCTTTGGACATGAGATGGCCTTTCAGGCGTCTCAAATGTCACCACTTTAGACATGGGATGACCTTTCAGGTGCCTCAAAAGTCAAAGCTCACCGCTGCCTTCGAGAACCCTCGCCTGCAGGCTGCCATCCTCGATGTGTGTCCTTTTTCTGTACTCGCTATAGTCATCAGCATGTGGGTTCGATATAAGCATTCCTTACTGGACTCGATATGAGCATCCTAGCTCATGCTTGATATCAGCATTCTTCTTTGCACTCAATATAAGCAGCCTCGTTTGTGCATGTGTGTGCATAGGCCTGCATGCTCTCTGCTTCTGCCACACCACACTGTGGGTGGTATCTGGTAATCCGGAGCTTTATCTGATGGTTAATCTCTGTTCATGTGTCTGCATCTGGGTAAGTGTGTGCTTCTGCATGAACCTGCTTTCATTTTATCCTGATGCCATGGCATGGCATGTAACTTGTCCATATGGGATGACATGGCATGGGATGGCATGGCATGGCATGGCATGGCATGGTATGGCATGGCATGGAATGGCGTGCATCCCAACAGGTGTCCTCCAATCCCATGAACTGGACCAAGTACCAAAACGATGCCGAGGTAAGCAAGCACGATGCTGACATGAGCAATTAATAGACCCACCAATCAAAATCAGTGTGGGCTGGACGGTAGCAGTACTCAGCAGCCCTGTAGGTTGGTACCCGCATCTGCCAGCCGAGTGCTTACTGCATTGCTGCTTGCACGGTTCATTAACCTTTACGGTCGCACTTACTCTGCTCTGGTATGTTTGTGCTGCATTGGTCGACCACTGCTGAGAGGGAATGAGCATCGCTAATCGAGATTTTGAAGCTCTTTGCCCCACCAGGCTTATGCTCTGTTGTGTGTCTTCTCCCCATTTTCCCGTCCTCTGCATTGTCCTCTCCCCCGCCCAATCTAGGTCGTAATAACACTGTCTAACAGGTCATGGAGATTTTCAACCAGGTCCAGAAGCTCTATGCCCCACCGCACTGGTTGTGCCTATTCGGCATTGTCCACTTACCTGCATCATCCCCTCCCCTCCCCCACCCAAACCCGTGTCATGCTTACACTGGCTGGCAGGTGATGGAGATCTTCAACCAGATCCAGGAGCTCTTTGCCCCGCGCTGATTCTTTGTTTCGCTCCGCTGTGTACTTCACTCCCTTGGGCTCCTTTAGATTACAAGAAAACACTAGATGGTTCAGTCTGTATGTTGTTTCGTTAAGGGTGTACGGTCTGAGAACAATACTAGGTGAGTAGTAAAAGGCCACTCGATATAGGGACTCCCACTGGTGCAGCATGTGTGGCTGACATTAGTTGTGTACTGAGATGAGATTGGTGGGTTGGCTCCCCAGACGCATCAAATGACTGAAAACATGAACAAGTTGTCCTAAGTGTTGTCAGATTTTCTCATTTGCAGCTGGATGGAAAGCCAGGATAGTCACATCTTTCTGTACCCAAACGAGAAAAACTACATTTCAGATTCTTCATTTGATTTAGCACCGCTCTAAACCATCCATCAAAGGCCCCGTATCGTACACAACCAGTCAGATTGAATGCTGTAAATCAACCCACCGAGATTTTGGGACACAATCGACCGCTGCATCCGTGCGACTCCAGCCGGCGATTCCTATGCAACTCGGCTTTGTCACCCTGACGTGTCGCGCTTGAACATGGCAAACCGTTCAAGAAAGGTTTCATAGATCGTCAAACCGCTTTGAAACTTGGAGAACCGTCAGGAGCATCGCAGCAAATCCAGCCGAGAGCGCCGTGCAAGGGGGTTCCGTGTAGGCAAATGTACATTCTCCAAAATATGTCCCCCCACTTGCCTTGTTCGTTTATTGATCACAAGGCAGATGGTGTTCCCCCCACCAAGGCCCCGTCCCCCTTCCCCTTCTCTACACCCTCTTTCGCGCTACACTGTCATTGGCTATATGGGCCCTGTGGCTCAATGCGCCAGAGGACGCGTTATAGTGGACTTTTGCACTAGTACGGTTTGACGCGGTTAGTTACTTTCAAAGACGGTCGTTTGAACGTTTGATATGGCTCGGTAGGGTACCCAGGATAACGAAATTGCGAATCACTCACCCCCTAGAGACGGTTATTGTAACAATTCCGAATATGTCCAAGGAACAGTTTCACTGTAGCCAGTGAATCCCGTTGCCAGTGTAGCGCAAAAGAGGGTGTACCCCACAATTCCTCCGTTCCCCCTCCCCGTCTCCTCTCCATTTCCGCCGTCCCCTCCTTTTCTTCCTTCCCCTATTGCTCCCAGCCGCCATTTGTTGCTTCGACACTCAGGAAACACCTGCCAAACCAAACCAAGTCGTTGTCGCCACCACACTTGACCTAGAGAGACTCGCTCGATCGTGAATTTATTCCGTTCTGTTTGTTTCAAGAAAACATCTCTGCGCGCTCCAACCTTGTCATCTATCCGCCACTCGCTGTAGATCGTTTCAGATTCACATTCTCAGATTTCGCGACAGCCTGTTTAGCCGAGTGTATACACGTCAGCCGCCATGTCAGTCCAAACGCTGATGCTAGCTGCTCTCCTTTCACTGTCGATATTGGCGACAGCTGCGGACCCGTTGACGACACCTGCGGACCCGTTGGCGACACCTGCGGACCCGTTGGCGATACCTGCGAACTCGTTGGCGACACCTGCGGACCCGTTGGCGACAGCTGCGGACCCGTTGGGGACAGCTGCGGACCCGTTAGCGACAGCTGCGGCCGCGGCAAAAACGGCGGGAATCATAGGGGAGCTGAAGGCGCTGCGGCAGAAATTGATGCTAAATCCCCGTTTGAGATACCTCGTCATGAGTCAAGTTCTTTCTCAGCTGATTACTCAAGGAAGTAAGTCCAATTACAATCATCGTCGTAATTTATATTTTTTTCCGGCTGTGTGATTCCAGAGCCTACCTGTGCTGACTTAGAGGAAACTCAGGTCTGCATCTCCCTTGTTCCCTTTCCCTTCCGCGACTCGCGCTCGATTAACAGGGCTGTTACTCTCATTTCATACTCTACCAGCAACTTACTCTCTTTTCCCGCCCAGACTCGTGTCATGCCCCCGTTTACACCGTTTTACACCTTTCTCGCAACCATCGGTTGGCAAGAAACGCACATTTCGTCGTCCCTCGATTTTTTGCCCATCCGCTCTAGTCGCCCCTTGCAGAAACCATTCCCGTCGGCATCGGCCGGATCCCTTTCTTTCACATCACCATCTTTTGAGGCGCCTTAGACTTCATTCACTGACGTTATTCGCTCATTCCGTCATCCCTCACCTCCTTCCCATCCCCTCCACTCGTCCCTCGCAGAAGCCCTCCCCACCGCCATGGACTTGACCCTTTTCATTCACACCACCATCTTAATACCCACCGACGCCGCGCTTCTGTCGAGTGGCCTCCTCCCGAATCTTAAAAACCCGGGAGCCTCGCTCAATCTCTTTAAGAGCCTCTCCTTCAACATCATCAAGGGCAAGAAGCGGTTCGCCAAGCTGAAGGCTTTACCTGAAGGGAAGTCGGTTGCGCTTCTGCTGAACAATGGAAAGTTGTTTCGGCACACAGTGAGTCCTGGTTGGGGAATGAATCAAGGCACTAGCGTGGCGCTCGCGCTCAAGGGAAAGAACAAAAAAACAGTGGTCGAGAATTCTCGACAAGAATTTGCACAGAGGAAGTTTCGTTGCTCATGGGGTCGACCGCCTGCAGATTGCTTGAAGCGCTTGACCGATCCAACAGAAGCAAATTTTGGGACTGTTTCAATGGGAGGTTATTCAACCCACGAACGAAGCTTTCTATTGTTCATACCGTTTGTAAGGTAAATAGGTTGCGATTCATTGGGTCAGGCTTGAGATGAGTGAACCTCTTCGTTCATCATCCTTTGATTCAGATTCTTTGGTGTAACTAGGAGGCACATTGAGGCAGCTGTGCCTCCACTGGCAATGCAATACTACCGTATTTTGCTTGGGAACGCATCCCTCAGTTGTCACAAAGCAGCTGAGTGTTATGAATGAACTTGCAGAGTGTGCAGAATATCGAATAATGAGAATGACTGAGTACTGAATTACTGAATGACAATACAATGAGAAAGGCACGACTAAATAGGGGAAGTCCTAGCTAGGCGGAGAGGTTGGGCGAGGATGGCTCGGTGATGGTTGCGATTGGAGCGGAGGCGACTCGGGAGTGGTTCGGTGCGACGAAATAGGAAGGACAGGTTCGTCGCGTGACCCTCGGGATGGCCTCGCTAACGAGTGCCTCAGTAAGGATTTTGTAAATCCTTACACTGAGGCACACAGGTCAGCATCACACAAAAACAGGGTTACCCGTCTTTTTTTTGCGGAACTCTCGCGACTCTGGGCAACGCCTAGCGACACTCTCTCCTCATTGGCTGATGTGCACAATCTCAAAACATAACCGAGCGTCGCTCAGGTTGGCCCGCTGGTTGCATCACACATATCTTGATCGCCTAGTAGTACTCATGACTGGCCTAGGCTCTCACGTAAGTAGAAAGCCAGTGCTTCATCAGCTAGTACCACGTGACCGCGATTTTTACGGCAACTCACGTCACTCATGCTGTCTCGTCAATAGCTGGGCAGAACAAGCCTAGTGTCGCTGTACATATTTACAGGCGTAGTCGCCACACTCACCCGGAACGTCTGAGCCAAACGAGTGCGACACCATTCTACCGCACGTGCAGCGCGAGTCGTCACCCGCGCTCCCCCTCGCCACTCGCGCTCCCCCTCGTCACTCGCGCCCCGCCCTCGTCACTCGCGCCTGCTTGGAATAGAATGCCGGCCCTCGTCATGCGTTGCCATTCGTCACGCGCGTTTCCCTACGTCACGCGCGTTTCCCTTCGTGGCGCGCGTTTCCCTTCGTCACGTGCGTTTCCCTTCGTCACGCGCGTTTCCCTTCGTCACTCGTGTTTCCCTTCGTCACGCGCGTTTCCCTTCGTCACTCGCGTTTCCCTTCGTCACGCGCGTTTCCCTTCGTCACGCGCGTTTGCCTTCGTCACGCGCGTTGCCCCTTGTTACGCGCGTTTCCCC